AAACAAAAAAGGAAAAAGGAAACAAGGCATTTTTCCCCCACTGATATTCCCAAACGCTCATTGCATCTCCTTGGGTATGTGAACGCCCTTACGAGGTAAGGACATGACTCATACATCATGCCCTGGGAAACATCATTCGCGCATATTTGGGAGGGGGCAGTGGCCATTCATCCACAGGGGGAAGGCTGGGGGAGAGAGACAAAAATAATAATAAATTATGTGTGACGAACACAAATCAGGGGCAGATGCCATGATTCCAATTGGGAGCCAGATCGTGAAGGGATTATACCCGTCGACCCAAAACTGGAGGTATGTACATGGTATGGATGCACGATCACAACTAGATCGTGCCAAGTGAACATCCATTGTTCATGCATGCGGAGGAGGGGAACGCATGTCCACGCTCGACATTGAGCAAGGAGCATACACTCATTCAAACTCTTTTTTTTTAAGGGGGGGGGGGACAAATGCTCCTGTCTATTCGTGGGAAGTAGCATGTGCTGGGAACCGGGCCCATCGTTCTTACATGGCTGATACCTAGAATTCCAAACTCTCAAAGAATCCGGTTGTCACGAGAGTCATTTACAATATATGCCCGAATTTGCAGGAGCGCACAAGATCTTGATCTTCAATCACGATTGATCACCCTGAGTGGGAGGCTACTATGCACACAAGCGAAGATGGGGCATGGGAACCGCATGTGCCTTCAAAGCAAAAAAAGACGTACTCAGGAGTCTCATGCAGATGATGATCCTACTGCGCCATGGAACCTAGTATGCACACATTGTCAAGTGAAGAACGAACCCAGGAGTCATGAGTAACATGCGCATCCACGGCCGAAAAAAAACATGAGCAAGAATTATGCGCACATGATCACCCTTCCAGGCCATGCAAAGAATGGCCTGACGACACCACGATTTCAAATCTCGTGAACAATCCAGTTTCCATGATTTATGTTAATGCATTGGCCCTGATTTGCATGTGTGTGCAAGATAACAGCGCATGATCATGAGCAATCATGCTGAGGAGGGATCCAGTGTGCGCACAAACGACGATGGGTTACAAAACATAGAAAGATATCATGGGCATGACAAAGGATATTCTTATCCCACGACACACAAACCATGAAATATCTTGTTCACAATGAAACCAGTCAATCCAAAGATGCCATTTAAAGCAGGAAGTGCAGTGGTAACAACATGCCAATGACCATCCCCCAGCGTTCTGTATGGAGAGCCACCGGGAGCTACCCCAAAGCTCCTAGGAATCCGGATGACTCATATGTCCATATTTGCGTGTGTGCACACGACATGGATGTACCATCATGACCGACCATGTAGAATGGGTATCCCGTGTGTACAGAAGCGAGGGAGGGACACGTTCACACCTCGAATTGAAAGGCCGAAAGAACGATTAAGCAATAAAAAGATACAAAAGACAAATGAACGACGATACCATGATAAAAAAATAATATGATACCGTGTGCATGTCAAGCCATTATTCCACTTGACATACAAACCGGTGAAACCACACCGTAAAATCCTATGCTGGAGGAGATAAAACCCAATCTCCAAAAACAGGTGGAGCCATGTATTTACAGAAAGCACTCCGACAGACAATCAAATCATGCATCTCGCATGTATCACTGCCATATCTCCTCCCGAGTTCAGAGTAGCCAGGTAGAAGAAAATGTTCGCACCCAATCAAACCAGGATTCAAACGCATGTCCCAACTAGAAAGGAGAGAGGAAAAGTAAAGTGCTCATGTTGTGAATAAGGTACAACCATATGGTTGATCCGATCAGCAATACTCATGAGCTGGATGACTCGAAAGAATGAGAAATTCAAGACTCATCATCCACCCAAAGACGCTTGCACACACGCGCAGGCCAAGGTTAACATTTGAAAGATGAAAACTTCGCGTAACATCGAGGTCGCAAAACAACGCTGCACCATAATGATGAAAAGGAATGGCAAACCTCTAAGTTGGCATCTCTCGACAAGTTTCGGCCGTTGCCAGAGACACGACCATCTTTAAGGGAGTTATGAATACCTCGATGAAGATGTAGAACTCCGTAAAAAGTCTATCTTTAAGGGAGTTAGGAGCCTCCCCCCAGGTGTTAGTGGTGTCTACTCTTGCCAGCACGGTGTTTCCAAAAAAAAAAAAAAAAAAAAAA